GCAGAATTTCTTAGCCTCTGTCAGTTTCCTGCATGCCCAAGACCTCTGTTGTCCTGACTCTGTTTGCTTCTGGCCTTCCCCGACTTCATTCTAACTAAAAAGGAGTGTGTGGATACTCACTGTATCTTTTTATAAAGATGTCTCCCTAGAGAAAAAAAAAAAGAGGAGTATGTAAGAGAAAAATTATTTCCTACCAGTTAGGCAGCAAGCACTGTGCTGGGTCATTTACATACATTATCTTAATCCTTTTAGCCAATACAGGAGTAAGATGTTATTAACCTTTCAAAGATGTTAAACACGCTCTGACCTACTGCATTTCCAAACAAGAGTGCGATGATTAAGGCTTTATAACCTAATAAAGACATTAAGATTTATGAATCAATTTATTAATCAAGAAATGTTCACATCTACTTAGCTACTAATGGCCGTTTGGAAATGAAGTTACAAATACATTACACTTCAGGCCCAAGGAAACATCCCTAAATAGCCAAGGGCACGCGCCTGTTGTGATTTAGTCTTATTTTAATAATAGTTTACGAGCGGGGCATTTTCTTTTCTTTTCTTTTCTTTTTTTTTTTTGCATTTTTTCTCAAACTGAGTTGGTGGGACTAAGAATATTAGTTAAAAGTCCCAGGTGCAGAGTCATACAGCAAAATCTCTGAGGTCCTTGAGGTTGAAATATGAGCTTAGTTTCCTCTCCGTCTTTCCCATTCTCGACACACTTCACTGACACTTACTGTTTCTTAAAAGTCTCTGGAGACAGAATGGTACCTTTGGTTGTTTCCTGTAAATGTCCAAGAGAATTCTCAGAGCATCCTCTGGTTGTTGTCACGGGTTACAGCGGCAAAGCATTTGGAAATTCAGTGTGTTGTCTCAGATATGCCCTTGCATACGGATACAATCCATCCTTGCACTGAAATGAATGGAAGGGATTCATAGTCCTCGAGTCTTGCCCCGAAGTTAATGCTCCAATCATTTCTAACTTATCACATAACAAGAAGTGCGCACCCAGCTACCAGGGCACACATACCCGCACGCCCCAAGGAGCAAGATCAAGGGTGACACTTGTCAGGAAGCCTGGGAATCACCCTGCCTTCATTTCTTATACTGGCTCCTGTCAGCTTATAGCTTAGATAAGTTCACGGTCACATTTCTGTTATTCAGAATAAGTAGTTTTTTTTTTTCCCTCTCCAGATCTGCTGAAAACATTATTGCAACATTGCAAAGAAGAATTGGGTCAAGGAGGACTAGATGCTTTTATCAGTTTATACAGAAACTTTGAGTCACTGGGCGATGATGGCGGGGCCGGGGGAACAACTGTGAGCTGTGAGCCTCTGCAAGGAGAGTCCGAAGGCAGAAGTTTTCAATCACCGTTTTATGTCTGGAAATCTTTAAGAAATTTTTATTTTCTGCCTTATAGTTCAGCTGATACTAGAGATGAGAATGAGGGTAAGCTGGGATTGCCAAGGGCTAAAGGGCAAAAACAAAACAAACCTCCAGAGCTTTAGTCTGTGCTTCCTAGAAGCTAGTCAAAGCCTTCACATACTCCCAGAGAAACCTGGGTGTCTTCAACTGCTCTAAAACTCTTGAAATGTATCCCTTCCCTATCTCTCTCTCTCTCTCTCTCTCTCTCTCTCTCTCTCTCTCTCTCTCTCTTNCTCTCTCTCTCTCTCTCTCTCTCTCTCTCTCTCTATCTGTCTCTCTCTGTCTCTCTCTGTCTCTCTCTGTCTCTCTGTCTCTGTCTCTGTCTCTGTCTCTGTCTCTGTCTCTCTCTCTCTCTCTCTCTCTCTCTCTGTCTCTCATGTGTATGTGTATCACACAGACACCCAAGTGTCACAGAGCATATTTTGAGAACATAAGATAACTATGTTCATTTGGGGTTATTCTATTTTCATACTGGGCTCCTGGGATCAGTTACCCACATATGTGTGTGTGTGTGTGTGTGTGTGTCTGTGTGTGTATGGGTATATATATACCCATATACATACACACACACATGCCATTCATAGCCTTTCTTTTCTGTATGATCCCATAATGTAGGCCCACGGATAATGAAGGTGATTAACACAGTGGTGAAAATTGCCATTGAAATAACCCACTGCAGCCGTGGAAGCACACATTTCACATACAACTTCCTCCCCATAACAGCTTATTAACCAAGCTCCATCTTAGCTTCCATGTGGGCTATCCAAGGCTGTTCTGAATAATAATATTTTTTAAGAGAGAAAGTCTATTCACTTAATTTGAAATATCAATTTTTTTTTTGAGACAGGGTTTCTCTGTGATGTCTTGTCTGCTGTGGCACTAGCTCTCTAGACCAGGTTGGGCTTAAACTCACAGAGACCTGCCTCTACCTCTGCCTCCTGAGAGATGAGATTAAGGGTGTTTGTTACCAGTGCCCAGCGAATTTTGGTAATTTTTCAAAAACAAGTATATAATCAACTTTTCCCCAGCTGTTTACACTGCTTATATTCTAGCCGATCTGCACATTCTTCCTACTGATTCTTTTCCAAATTTGTGATGGTATTTATCAGCTAGACTAGACCCCACTGATTATATATCACTGATGTTGACAAACTTCCTCCGTATTTAAATTGTCCTAAATAGTTAGAGGACACTAATAACTTGATATATTTTAGTAGCTGGGGTATGCTATACCTTGGCATAGATAAAAGTAAAGAAGCCAGTCTTCTCTAGCACTATCTCATCCTTGAAAAGTATCGAGGTTTTTTACCTGTTTCCAAGGGGGACTCCAGAGATTGGAATAAGAATGTTCTGAGAGTCAGAAAAATGTTTCCTCTGTGAAATATGGATTTTCTCGTGGCTTTTTTTTTATGGAAAAAGGGAAGAGTTATGGGCCTTAAGGTCAGACTGCGTGGATTTATATGCTGACGGCAACATGTAACACTGCGCCAAAACATCATATCCTGTGTGCTGAATATCTTTCAAGTTAGAGTTACTCATTTTGTTTTGTGTGTCTTGCCTTCATGTATATGATTAGTGGTCTCAGAGGTCATAAGAGGGCATCAGTTCTCCTGGAACTGGAGTTATGAATGGTTTTGAACCAGCATGTGGGTGCTGGGAGTTGAACCCAGTTCCTCTGGAAAAGCAACAAGTACTCATAACCCCTGAGGCATCTCCCCAGCCCATGATATATATCTTTAATATTTTCCATTTATTTACTTTCTACATCTGTGGAGTGTGGCATGCCATGTATATGGAAGTCACTGAGAACCTGTTTTCTCCTAACACCATATGGGCTCTAGGGATTGGACACAGACTATTAGGCTTGCCTGCTGAGCCATCCTCATCCTGACCTGTTTGGTATTTTAAGATGAAAGAATCTAGGTAGATGCGGAGAGGAACCAGATCACCCAGCACCTGCTGTTTCTCCTCCATTTGACTTCTCTACTCCTGTCCCTTGGTCCTCTCAGACTTTCCCACAGTCTCCACCTTGTCAAACCAGCTGAGGAAAGAGTAGGGTGGAGTCACTGGTTCAAGTCTGCCTTTTCATATGCACTTGCCCCTCACATAAGGCTTCTGCTAAGGAAATGCATGCTCTCTTCTCTTTAATCTGTCTGGTGTGTGAGATTCAGCTAAGAACCAAGCAGGGCCGAGTGGGGCTTCTCTCCTCTAATCTCAATTTACCATTGTGTGACTTGGAACAAATGGCCAGTTTTCTCTTCATTGAAATTGAAATTGAAGATAAAATATCTCCCGTAGAATCTTCTCTTTGAACACTTGTTGCCCAGCTAATGGAGTGCTGTTTTGAAGTGTTGTAGAACCATTAGGATGTGGACTCTTAAAAGAGGAAGTAAAGCACTGGGGGAGGGCTTGACATTTCGTAACTCCATTCCTCTTCCTGTCCATTCTTTGTCTCCTGATAACGGATATAACGGCGACTTTCACTCCTGATGCCATGCCTTCCCCTTCAGGATAAACTCTAAGCCATAGTAGAGCCCTCCTATCAGAAGTGCTTTTGGTAGGAATTTTGTCACAAACATGAGGAAAGCCACTAACAGAGCCCATAAGAGAGTGGCAAACAGGAAACTTTCACTAAGTCCAGAAGCATGATGGGTTTTTGTCGATTGCGTTGGGTGGGTTACTCAGTCTAGGGGTTTGTAACCCACCCTGTAGCTAGTTATTCCAGGGTCACGGAGGGGTGCTACCTGGAAGGGAATGAGCTAGAACAGAAGAATGAGGCTAAGCAGATTTGTCAAAGCCCCCCTTTATTAGGATCATGGTTGCTGCTTATATAGCCCCTGAAGGGTAGGGAAACTGGATTCTTGCCGTGTGTTCCAGGTCACGTAGGCCAGGAGGTAGGCCAAGAAGTCACAAGTTGCCACACCTGGTTCCCTGGATAGCTGGAATGTGAGGAGCGTTCCGCTAACAGATAAGTTAATTGGGTGTGGGGCAGGTTCTGTCAATAGAACATAATTATGGGTGTGAGGTTCCCTGCAGACTCCCCAGGGTGATGGTTCCTGTAATAATTTTTAGGGGGGAAATGGCTCGTGACAGGTTTTTGATCCTACTGCACGTACTGGCTTTGTGGGAGCCTAGGCAGTTTGGATGCTCACCTTACTATACCTGGATGGAGGTGGGTGGTCCTTGCACTTCCCACAGGGCAGGAAACCCTGATAGCTCTTTGGGCTGATGAGGGAGGGGGACTGGATTGGGGGAGGAGGAGGGAAATGGGAGGCGGTGGCGGGGAAGAGACAGAAATATTTAATAAATAAACAAATTAAAAAGAAAAAAAATCATTGCCCAAGCCTCACTCTAGCAAAAATACTCATTAGCTTTTGGGCAAGCGTAGATTTCATCATATGCTGGAAAGTCCTCCTCAGACAGGTCTGAAAATGTGGAAGTCTGATTTGTGGTGTTTTCCATAGAAGATAGGCCATCTCCCTAATCCCAGGTCAGTCCATCAGGGAGATTATTCCAGTGTGCTGGTCCTGACTTCATCCCATTCAAACCTGAGAAGAACTGGAGGGTGGCAGCTTATGCTGCAGCTCCCAGGATGGGAGTTCTTTCTCTTCACTTCCTTTTACAGCTAGCACCACCAACAAAAGCTCCCAAAGCAACGAGATTCTGCATCTTTTAATGAAAGATAAAACAACAATATAAACATACACAAATTTACAGAGAAGAGGTCAACTTTGATACATTTGGAGTAAAAGGTGTTTTCTCATTTAAATATGGTATAAAAATAAACGCAGGAAACATGAACAATGTCCAGAGAACAGACGAAGACGGCGTTTGTTACAGACTGTGGATACAAGGGTGGAAGGACACCTTCTGTGCTAATTTGTTATTTAATAAATGTGAAGCCATGTGTATACTTATTGATATATACTTTTTTTTTTCTTTTACAATTCTTCCAGTTTGTGACTGACTGAATTCTCAGTGAACTGTGTATCTAGCGGAAGCTTAAGAAAAGGAGAGGAGGGGGAAAAATAAAGTTTACTTCACTTGAACTGGTTAAAAAGGAAAAAGACACAGATCCAGCTTAATAAGGGGGGCAAGGGAAGCAGACGACAGGTGGAGATGGAGGCAATGGGGTGGCGAAGAGTCCCTTGGCGGTGGCGATGCCTTAGTGTGCACACAGGAGAGAACAATTCAGGTCCTTCGTTCATGCAACATCTCGGTCTAATGTCCTCGGCTCCAGGTAACAGCAATGGGCTACAAGATATGGGCGATGGCTCCGTTCAGCTTTCGTGTCACCAAGACGATCCTTTTAGTAAGACTGAACAAGGCTTGTTAACCTCTTGGATGTGAGAGATTTCCCCTGAGAAAAAAATATCAAACGAAGAAAGAAAGAAAATAATTCACGATCACTGAAAACTGTACCATAGTAGAATTGAGCTACTAGAGCAGAAATTGGTGTTAGGGTCAAAACTGGACCCTTGTCTTTTGGTGTGTGGTCCTGGGAAGCAAGCCCTAGACTTCACACATAATAGGCATGTGCTCTAGTACTGAGCTCTGCCCTCCTAGGCCCCCAAACTGAACCCCTTAAGTTATGCTGATTCCAACATCATGATGAACCCTCTCCCCTCCCTCACCCTCCCACCACGAAAACATCAAACAAATGACTCTCCCTCCCCAAACACTCCCTCTCCTCCCAGCCCCTCCCCCCCCCACTGCAAACAGACTGATGGGGTCACAGCACACATTAGCAAATCATAAACATGTCCAGAAACGTTCCACGGAGGCTGAGCTATGAGGCAACGCCTAGGTTCCCAACCTGGAATAGACATCCTAGCAAGAATCTGTGTCAGATTTTCTGCAGGACAATGTGAATGCATTTGGTCAAGTAGGTGCTTGGGTTGGGGTGGGATTGAACTATGTAACATGCACTTCTGAGGATGTGATTGGTAGAAGCTCAGACTGGAGTCTCTCCCTTGTAGTTAATGGAGGAAAAGAAGTCAATTGTGAGTCTTGAGATAAAAGTATATTCATTCCTCTTTCAAATAGTTAACATTGTTTAGCCATCCCCCATTTGTTTTTTCCCAAACTGGAATATGTATATGTATATATGTATGGTGTGTGTGTGTGTGCATTAAGATACATGGAATATAGAATACATAGTATACCTATACATGGAATATAGAATATATATGTATGCTATATATATATATTAATTCCACATATTTTGCTATTATACTATTACAGAGAGTATGTGGAGTTTTTTATTTCTTTCTTTTATAAAATCTTGACTACCAAGTTGTTTTTTATAATGGCGAGCATGCTGGAGCTATAAGGGATTTGATATTTTTAATGAGAATACAGGTTATTGACTGGTGAGTTGTCTCATGACACATTTTCTAGGTTTTGATATGAAAGTGATTGACCTATTCATTGAATTTTTTTCCTTCAGAAGGGATGAGATAGGGACTTTTGGGGAGAGAAACTACAGTATTTGGGACATAACTTGTGTCACAGCTGAATCCTTGACTTGATGCCCAATGTGGTTGAGTTTGATCAAGGGCTGTGTCAGAAATCATCACTCACAGCTATCATCTCTAGCTGTTGATGAAGTGAGAACACAGGAATTGAGTGCTTGTCAATGGGAGAAATGTGTTTCCCACGGTCCAGAGAGCCTGAATGTGCTTTGTTGTTATTGCTGTTATTGTTCTTGCTGTTTCTGAGAGGGCTTTCTTCTGGTCCACAAATAGTACATTTTTTGGTCCTCGTGTACGAGAAGAGGAGAAGAAGCTGCTGTCGGCCTCTTTCACAAAGCCCTTTAACTTGTTTGTCAAACCTCCTCCCTTAAGATCTAATAATCCTCCATGTCTGACCTTCTAGTCTATATCCTTGCCACTGTAGAATTTAACATGTGGTATTTTTCTTGGCTGGGAAGCACAAAAATTCAACCCCAAACTGCTACATTTTAGGCAAAGAATGATATGTTTAAGAAATGATTAATAACTCTCTAATTGCTAGTAAAGATTAGTAACTCCATAATTCATAATTGACAAGCTTTCTTTATACCTTGTATGGTCTTTGACTGACAACGTGGCAGGCAAGAGAAGCAAGATGTTTTCTCTTGTTTGGAAAAGGGCTTTCAGCTTGGCTTTCAGCGGCTGGCAGCATATTCAAAGAAAGCATCTCATAACAGGCTATCCTTAGCTCCTCCCCTCCAAAGAAAATACCAAAAAGCAGTGTGTAATCCGCACACACATCTTGCCCATGATAGTTTTGCAGAACCCATCCAAGTAAGCTTTTGGGCCTCCATGTGAGGACACAGGAAGAGGCTGCCATTGGTGAACCACAAAATGGATCCCCACACACCATGGAATTGGCTGACATCTCGAACCTGAATTTTCAGCCTCTAGTACTGTGAGCAGTGTTTGTGTCGTATTAGGGTATTTTGTTATAGCAGCCCAAAGCGATGAAGACTTCTACTTCCAACCCTGTACCTGTTTTCTCATCCTTAAGTGGAGATAATAATTGCCTCTGCTTTAAAACCTCGCTTGGAACACTGATGCAGGCACATGTTTTAAAATTGTTCTTAGCACATCCTTGGAGTCAATTTATGTTGGCTGTGACCTTACTATTGTAAATGCTGCTGACACTATCTTTTAAGTAAGGAAATCTGATCTCTTAGGAAGCCCAGGGTCGAAACTACTATTCTGATGCTCTGAAAGGCAGAAAATCACAAAGGAACTGAAAACCAAGGTTGTTCTCCTTTTCTCCATCCAAAATAGGCAATAATGTATTGGTGTTAGCATCAAAAAGCACTTTTCTGTGCTTAATGATGTTACTCTTTGCTGTATTTGCTACTGTAGTATGTGTTACTAACATACACACATACATGTGTAAGCACTCATTTATTCTGAGATGAAATAATTTGTCTTGAGATGAGATTTACTAATGTCATTAGTGGAGAAGAAGGAGAGAAGAAGGCTAGGCCAAGATAGAACTATTTCTCTTAAAACTTTAGGTTGCCGTGATTTGGGTCACCATTCTGAAAAAGAAGACTAAAATAGCTGTACTGGAATAAAAGGTCATTTGAAACCCAGGCACAGTTACATTTTATCTAGATAGAAACCCTTGTCACTTTTTAATTTATACATTTAACTTAAAAGGGAACATGGTTCTTTTCTCGTGGTTTTGTTTTTAAGTTTCTGCAAATCATAAAGACGGCTAACAGACTTCACTAAACATAAGTTCTGGTCAAAGGTGAACCTGACTAGCTCTGTCCTAAGACATAGCTTAAAAACTCTTCCCTGGAAGCCCACAGTGAAGCAGTGTCACGGTCAACCTGGGGGATTGAGATAACAAAGAAACAGTGATCAGAAATGAGAAGGTGTGTGAGCCTATGCCCGTGTGTAGTCCTGACTGTCAACTATACAACAAGCTATTGGTGTTGTGTACCACGATGATTAAAAAGGGACACTGGGTGCAACTAATAGTGGACAGATCCTAAGAGCCTGGGGTGACAGCAAGAACATGCATGTCTGGTGGCTCACCTAGATTTATAGAGCTAGACCCTGTGCACAACCTGCCTTGCTTCCTCGTGGAGAAGACCAGTCCTGATGTTGGTGCCCATAGAGAGGACTAGCCCTATTGGAAAGTATTAAAGGCCTAAGAACACTGCTCTCTCCTCCTAGGGATGTAAGCATGCATCTTTTAAATTGTATATGAGCCATTTACAACAGCATTTTGAGTCAGTGCCCTAGAAGCCATGTAGAATGGTTCCCGACCATTATTTTTGGATAACTACAATGAAGGACTAGAGAGATTTTCATGGCTAAATTCTAAACTCTCTACTCTAGCAATTAAAAGGGATGAAGAAAACCTTACCAGTAGGATTCACCTACAAGATTGCCTAATCACAATAATTTGATAATTTCATATGAAGAGAAACTGTCTTAATCTTGGAACTACATGAAGGTCAAGTGATGTCAGCCCCTCCTGTCTGTCTCAGGGACAGGGACTACAGCAGAAACAAGTCTACAGAAAAGATAAACACAGACATTTCAACCAAATCCCAAACTCAAGAGACTATAAGTAAGCCTTTGTGGTATGTAGCTGAGGGACAGTATGTTAGAAAAACAAGAGTGTGTTCAGTTTCTGAACCAATCGAGCTTGGCACAGAGGTGAAGTTGGAGCACCAGCTGCACCTGCAACACAAGAGTCGTCTAAACAAAGTTCCATGTGTCTCACTATGAAATTTTACCTTCATCAGACCACACATTTCCCTTCCCACATTATTCCAAGAGGTTTTATGTAATTAGGAAGAGAAGAAACAACAAGCCCCCAAACAGCAACTTATGAGGTGTTCATTTTATGGTCTAGGTACCCTGGGCCACACACATGACTTGGCACTTGACCACATAGATGTTACCTCAGCCCTCTTACTTAATTTTATTTTTAGATACAGTCTCACCAAGTTGCCCAGGATAGCCTTGATCTCATGTTTTAGGCCAGGGTAGTCTTGAATTTATGATCTTCCTGCCTCAGCTTCCAAATTGTTGAGATTACAGACATATTTACTCACAGTTATGATTTTTAACTGATTTAAAAACCTCATTGTTAGTCATAAAGCAGAAAGATGAAACAAGGTGTTTAGAGTCCGTGAGAACGGACAGGAAGGCCAGGTTCTCTGCCACAGTGTGAAACTTGGGATGATGGGAACATAGAGTATTCCACTTCCCTTTTCTGCTTAGCTTGACCCATAAGCAAGCACAAGAAGCTACATTTTCCTGAGTGATCAACTCCATAAGTTTATGATCAACATGGAAGTACACACACAGTTCAGCAAGTAGACTGAAGAGTGATACGAGCCGAGCTACAGGGATACAAGGATGGGCACCAACCTTAGCATGAAAAGGCCAAGACTACACTTTCACCTTTCTGTTTAACTCAGCTTCATAACTCTTGCTATTCCATCACAGTTCCTACTTGCCGGTGTTCTGGAAATACCCACATTGCTGCTAGACGTTCCTGTAGACTTATAAGCACATTCTAGAATAATGTCCCAGTGATTACTTGCTCACTGATTTAGGTGGTCTGACGAATGCCTAGTTTCTAGGCATGAAATCAACACCATTGACCGTGTGAGCATGCTCATATAAAAAGATGAACTTAAGACATAATCTCTTTAACTCTTGTATTGAAATGTTCTTGTCTCACTATTTGCCGAGATTTCCAAGTCACTCACTATCTGGCTTCTCTGTCCCTCTAGTCTGCTTAGTGTCACTTCACACATGGTTCTTCGGCTGACTTGGCACCTGATGCTCTTTCAGTCAAGACTCTCTCTCTCTGCACACACCTGTGCTCTTTACTCAGCTGTCAGTGCTAAGTGTTCTATCCACATCTCTGCTTCCTGGATTTTGTCATTTCCTTCCCTCAGTTCGGCATCCATGCACTTATATTCCTCTGGGTATTATTTTGTATGTCACTCACCAAGGTGAAGTTATTGACAGATGTTAAACACCAGGCTTATAGAAGTCCCCAAATAAATTCACAGTTCCTTCCACGAGCTGAACTCTCGCACCAGAATGACCACTTCAAGAATAAATTTTACAAAAGGGGGTAAGAAGGATTTCAATGTCTTGGGATTAAATCACTTTTAATTCATGGCAGAAGAGTCTTGATATGGTGAGGGAACAGAAATTTGGTGATGGAGGGACACTGATCTCACCTCATGTATTAACCAGTTCATGAACAGAATCTGGTTATTTTAACATGGAAGATGGCTAAAAAAGAATTGAATCTAGTCTGCCTGTCCCAAAAGTTCTTCCCTGATTTAATACAAATCAATTCTTCTAAGTAAAGCTGCAAATGAGTTTATTGAAGCATGTTAGATGATTCTAGCGAAACTGTGAATGGATACAACTTCCTATAATGTCAGATGTATAGCAATTCAGAGATTGAAGAAAAGAAGGAAGCAGATTCTGTCCTTTGAATGTTGACTATCTTAACTAAGAGGATATAGGTATGAACAATTAAACACTTAAGCCCTGACTACTAGATTTCTATATGGGTTAAGAAAGATCATAAACCAAATGACCCCATTTCCTTATTTAAAATTATAAAGTAGACAACCATTAGATAAAAATACAGATAACAGAAGAAACAATAAAACTTAAAGCACAATTGTTTACAAACTAATACTTTTCAACTATTTTATTAAAATCACATTTTAGAGCTTTTTAAAAACAAAATGGATTATACTATGGCTGCTGACTTATTGTGGCAGGTAATTTAAACTATGCATGTCACTCAGCTATCCAGTTCTTATAAAACAGCTTTCCCAACTAATATGTGACAAAATCAATTTAGGTAGATGCAGCTGTTTAGGAAAAATTTAAATATCCTAAAACAGGTTAGAAAATAGTACATGGGATCTACCCAATAGAGGAATTTACTGCTTGTGGAGAGTTTTAATCCATACAATTTAAACTTACGTAAGTGTAATCTACATGTATGTGTGTTTATACATAGTACCCACAGATGCAAAATGAATCAAATGTCAATGGTATTAAAAAACATGAAAGCCACTGTTCTGAACCTGATTTTAATATGTGGGCAATGGTGCAGTACATAGGCTCTGATAGATTAAGAAAGTCTCAGTTTCTGAGCTTTCAGAATTTCTATATTTAGCAATTACATGATGCAATGAATATTTTTGTGTATGCCAGAACACCTGGGGTTTATTAGGGTTAAATTACTTTAAATTGAATTATTAATTTAAAGTTACAGGAATGTGGAAGCTTTTAGAATATTTTATCAATTCTATTCCATAAAAAAGTAACAGTTTATACTTATAGGAACAGTTTGTCTAGTTTTATCTCCTTTCTTCCTTCCTTGTTCTCTTTTCCCTTCCTCCCTCCCGATTTTCTCCTACCACCTCATTTTTCTAATTCATGACTTGAGGACAATGTATTTATTATATATTTACTTGAGTCAATATATTTATTGACTATTTGTATTTATCATTAAAACTGCCCAATTCCTTTGCTAATTCTCCTAATGGCAGATTTCTCTCCCGGTTATCATTTACCAAGAACTTGCAGTACATCAACTACATTAGCTGTATATCTGTCTGGACATGCGCATTGACAGTTGTTAGAAAGGGTTTACCAGATTTGAGGACAGGAGCTTGCTTTAAACAAAGGCTCTTGGGCTAAGTACGGCGTGGAGCAGCCTTTCATGGCATCTCTGTGGATGAGACAGAGAAAGATGCAGTTCATAACTAGGCAAACGACCACCCACAAGGTGTGCTGTGCACTAGAGCGGCAGCTTCTGCTGTCTTCCCAACACCTTAGAGCGTTTCCTTTGTTAGCCTGAACGAAATGGTAGTAGGCTGCAGAGAGAATGCATACATGATGCAAACTTGATCAACCGCTTCAAAAGACTAGCCAAGAGATACTCCAAAGAGACAGCAAGTACAGAGATGAAGTATGAAATTTAATAACAGGGCAAAACAGGAAGAAGGTAGAAATTCAAATTTACATTAAAATGAAGAAGCGACACACAAAAAGTCTAGAAACAAAAGAAAAGAGTAGAAAACATAACTACAGTTCGTAAAGAAAAAACAGTGTTTCAAAACATTTTAGCTAAAGCACCAAAGGATTCTACTTGGTAATGGTTAGAGGTTGGGGCCAGAAAGCTGATGCGGTTTTCCAGTTAGATTGTCAAGAAGACAAATTTAGGGAGGTGATAGTTTTTGTTGGATCACATGTTCCGTGTTGTGCTTGGCTGTGATCTAGGAGGGCTTTTGATGGACTGGAGCAAACAGCAGCGAGCAGTTAAGGTAGTGAGAAAACACAAAATGAGTAAAGGAAATGCAGGAGAGCGCCTCTCCTCATGCAAGATCCACTCAGACTTAATCTGAAGTCAACTTTTAAGGTATCTTCACATTATCAAATCTTTACAAGTGTTCTTGCTCAGTTTTCACAAAAATATCATTTTCAGATTCACATTTCATACTTTATTTATGTGTTAATAAATTATATATAAATGTAAGGATTCCATAATAGCAGTAAAAAGAAACACAACTGACTCGATGCTGTATAATTCTGATGGAGGTTGTGGAGTTGAGCTCACCTAAGGGGAGAGCAGCCTATCTGCTGTGTCATTGGCATTGTGCTTAACACTGATCTGTAGAAAGGGTGGGGGGGGGTATTGCCTTGTGCAAGACAGGGGCTCACAAAACATGGTCTTTACTCCAGTAGCATGATCACCACAAGTATCAACTAAAGAGGTCTGGATGGGTAGGGGGTTGGGGGAGTTTCCATCAAGGTGTGTTATAAGACTCCTTGCGGGGGCTCTGATGCAGGCAAGTGAGAAGTCCTGATATTTGGTAAGAAGAGCTGGAGTGTGAACAGTCCTAAGGTGGTAATCCTTCCCCTGTATTGTCATGAGATGCTTATAACCACTGCAGGAAAGAGAGCAACAGAGACAGAGACACACGGAGAATGACTTGTAATTCAATGAACAGGGGACGAGCTCACAGACTGCGTTTTCTAGGCTACTGGTAACTTGAGGATGTGGTAAGTGGGATCCCACCTAGAAAGGTAGCAAGCTAGAAATTTTAACTGAGAGGAACAGCAAGAAAACTTGGGAAGAGGTGACATATACCATGACTTCAAGTGATCCCCCTGTGGTCACATAGACGAGGGGTTTGCATGGCTCTTCTCAGTTACAGGAAGCAGTAGAGATGATACCTGAAGACCACAGAAGAGTAGATGATCCTAGAAATAAGAGGGTGTGGATTTCTTAATGAGGGATTTAATGCCTCTGCCACCCAAATGTACTACGTTTCTGGAAGTCAGGGGCCAGCAAGCATAGTGAGCCTGTGGAAGAAGACCCTAGGGACTGCCCTGGATGAACAGGTTCTGCTGAATTCCTTTGTAATTCTGAGATGACCACAATAATTAATATCTTTTCCAGTATCTTCTCAGAACACTTTGTAGACTTATCATTTAAAACTTGAAAAGAGAAAGATTTCCCAATGACTTTTGTTTTACTTTTGATATTAGTAATATGCTCTTATATAAACAGTAATATGCATATTTTAATTGAATACTCTTATTCGTGGGTGGTTATTGTTCCCCTTTGTAGTAACTCAGCAATGACTATTGCGCATTTGTGTGTGTGTTCTTCATGAGCTAGATAAAAGTCAAAAAGATCTCTAATGCCAAAGTCATCTGTATGGTTTGGAGAAACAAATCAAATGACAGTTGAACTTTTTTTTCTCCTTCTAGAAACAATAAGAGTTGGTAGATTGCACTTTAAAGGGACGGCAGTCGCCACAGCCTGTTTTATTGCTGCTTCTCACTGGTGGAGGGCACAGGAATAATGAGTGAATGTGGGATTTTCGAATATTGTTCATCCCACTCAGACCCCGACCACTGGCAAACAGGAACGGTGCAGCAGCGGAAGTGTAAAGCGGTATTCCACCAGCTGATCTTGCCCAATCCAGGCTGCTTGTGTGTGGTCTGCCAGGGTGGATGGAAACCACAGCGGGATGGCTACAGATGCACTCATAAGACTTCCAAGCACACAAAGGCTTGCAAGTTCTTCAAAAGAGCCTCTTGTCTTGCTATTGTAATTGGTCTCCAAGAACAAGCACACGTGATAGAAGAGTTAAAAATTACTCCCACAGCGTTCTGTCAGCATCAAAGTGCCTTTCACTTTTCTGAAAGATGTTTCATAGGGAGCGTCAAAAAACATATATGGCCCCATATGTGGTTTGAGAATGGATGAAAGAAATTGAGAAATGGTTGACTTGGTCAAAGGAGAACGGTCAAGTGTGTACTCATATAGGGAGACATGACTGAAACTTGACTCTAGTGTTAGTGGCAATTAAATCTGATGTCACAAGGAGCCTTATCTTTGTCTATTTAAGTTCTATTCACACTTTTCCCAGCTACATGAAACACACTTATTAGAAGAGAACATGCACACCCATTGTTCCTAGAACACTGATGAGATTGTGTGTATTTAATTTTGTTGCATGTCACGTTGCTTAATGAGATAATTTAGAACAAGGTTGTGTGGATGATTAAGTATGTTGCCAGGGGCTGCGATGTTAAATCTTTATATACACACAAACATTCCCTGGTCTTTCTACTTCAGTCAGTGACAATCCAGAGGATGGATATAAGATGATGTGAAACTTGAGACATTCCAGAGTCATAATTTAAGCTCAAGAAATCTTCAAATAAAAACAGTGACAAGGAAAATTACTATTGGCTTCCTTATCAACATTATGAATCCTAAATTAGACGGTTTGAAGCTCAATCTCAATTTCCAGTAAATGTGGCTTTAAAATATTGCGATAAACACGTTGGGATTCCAAATTTTCTTCCTCCTTCCCCACTCTTGCTTGAGCAGCCCTGTTTTATCTGGAATCCCCTAAGGTGTGTGTTGGAATGGTAGCTGCTGGTCCTATAGAAGGATTCCCTGCTCTCTCCCCCACCTTCTGCATCCCCAGAGGTGGCAGAACACGGTCTGGCTCCTCATCTGCCTTCTCCTGTGCTCTGCTGCTCCCACTGGAAGCCCGACACTGCCCTGGCTCGAGTCTGTTGAGTACTCAGGACTCTTTTCAGTTTAGATCTTGCAGGCCTCTTCTCCCCTGTTTGCTTTGGGCTCCCTTGGTGACTCACATTAAGGAAGCAGGTGGGAGCCTCGTTCTGTTCACTGGACAATCAGCTTCCATAGGAAGAGAGAATCAGTTTAGATATGCATGCTAGCAGCATCCCAAGATAGTAATCTGAGTCATCTCTGTCTTCTTAAAAAATAAAATTTGCTCAGAGCAGGGTATTGTGTCTTATTACCTATGTATTCTCAATCAGAGAGCAAAGTATCTACCCAGTGTAGGGACTCAGTAGCTATTATTTGTTTTATATATAAAACAACCTAGTGGTGGACAAATGCATGCTACCACTGAGTTCTACTTTTATCTCAGAACCTCTCTGATGGTCATCCTTGAGGCCTCCCAACCAACAGCACAAAAACAGGGCTTGACATCAGTAGAACTTAGACAATTCTGATAGAGTTTCTGCCTCTGGCACCTGTAGAACAACTTGGACATTGCTTGGTAGTCACACCTGCGCTCCTTTGGAGCCCCTGTCGGTGCAGTGGGTAGTCTGTAGCCAAGCATTCACCGCACCTAATTCATAGCTTGTATAACCTTGAGTGACAATTTCTGAACCAATGATGCTGTCGGGGGAGAATAAAGTTCCCCCTTCCAAACTCAATTAGGCTACATGGTCCAGAAACATTTCACCAGTGGGTTTATATCACGCTGCAGGGAAACTGGAGTTATTTTCTCAGGCAAGTATTTATCACAACCAGTTCCACTAAAACAAGATGGATAGCCATATCTGCCAACAAAAAATGATGAAAGAGATGGGTTTAAGATCCATAAAGGAAGAAAGAGGAGACAGAAGTTTATTTTTGATCAGGTTTGCTTTCTGTTTGCTGGAGAGGTCCAACGACCAGTTCCTAAGTGCTTTTCACCCAAGATGTCCTAGGGATTCCTAATGCAGTTTTTCCTAATTGCAGTGTACCTGCAATTCTGAGCAATAAAAGACATAGCACTTTAGCTGGCAAGGGTGAAGAGTGTGCATAAAACCTTTACAGTCAACTAATAGGGGGCACAGACATGAAACATAAAGCTTTCCTCTCTCGGTTTCTAGTCCGTTTGCATGCTATGATGGCTGTTCATGCGAGGCAGTCTGCTTCATTACGGTGGGTGTTTATGCCTATGAAAGATGTGACACTCTTCGTGGAAACAGCTACAGGTTCCTCGCTAGAACTACAATGTATAAGCTAACCTTTCTGAATGCTCGCGGTTTCGCCCCTATTTCTTTGTGGCAGGATATGATATCCTGACAAGGGATAGAGCAAGGATAAATGAGCTAATCTATATGTGAAGAAATGTTTTTGTGGTGCTGAGTGTGGTACCTAGAACTTCACATATGGCAAACAAAAGTCCTGTTAAACAGCTACCTCCCAGTCCAGCCAGCTATCTTTCAAAACGTACACAGGACTAGTTCATGACCTAGCACACAACAGAGACGCCATACGTGCTGATGTTGACCAATGGTCTAAAGCCTAGGCTAACAGTCCATACAGCAACAACATGAGTGGAACACAGGAGTGGGCGCTAGCTCGCCAGGTAAGTTTTCTGGTCTAGTATTTGTAATGGT